CTCATAATAAAATTGTCATCGTAACGTTAAGCGTGCGGACCCTACGGGTTCGAGAACTATGTAGACATGACCGAAACACGTTTCCGGTCAATAACCAATAGCGGGACCTGGATGCCCATATTGGCTCCTACATATTCTACGAAGATCTTTATCGGTCAAACCGCATAACAACATACGTTGTTCCCTTTGTCATCGGTATGTTACTTGCCCGAGATTTGATCGTCGGTATCTCAATACCTAGTTCAATCTCGTTACCGGCAAGTCTCTTTACTCGTTTCGTAATACATCATCCCGCAACTAACTCATTAGTTACAATGCTTGCAAGGCTTAAGTGATGTGCATTATCGAGAGGGCCCAGAGATACCTCTCCGGCAATCGGAGTGACAAAACCTAATCTCGAAATACGCCAACCCAACATGTACCTTTGGAGACACCTGTAGTACTCCTTTATAATCACCCAGTTACGTTGTGAAGTTTGGTAGCACCCAAAGTGTTCCTCCGGTAAACGGGAGTTGCATAATCTCATAGTTACAGGAACATGTATAAGTCATGAAGAAAGCAATAGCAACATACTAAACGATCAAGTGCTAGGCTAACGGAATAGGTCATGCCAATCACACCATTCTCCTAGTGATGTGATCCCATTAATCAAATGACAACACATGTCTATGGTTAGGAAACATAACCATCTTTGATCAACAAGCCAGTCAAGTAGAGGCATACTAGTGACACTATGTTTGTCTATGCATTCACACATGTATTATGTTTCTGGTTAATACAATTCTAGCATGAATAATAAACATTTATCATGAAATAAGGAAATAAATAATAACTTTATTATTGCCTCTAGGGCATATTTATTTCAGTAGGACCTTGAGAAGAGGTGTCTAAAAGGGGGGGGTGATTAGACACTAAGTATCAAAGTTGCAGTTTTTACGTTTCCTGAAGTTTAAGTGGAGTTTAGGCACAAGTTTAACATTCACAATACATAACAAGCAAGCATGCAAAGAGTACATGGGCATCGGAAGTAAAGCATGCAACTTGCAAGAAAGTAAAGGTAAGGGTTTGGAGGATTCAAACACAATTTGAGACACGGATGTGTTTAGCGTGGTTCCGAAAGGTGGTGCTATCGTACATCCACGTTGATGGAGACTTCAACCCACACAGGGTAACGGTTGCGCGAGTCCACGGAGGGCTCCACCCACGAAGGGTCCACGAAGAAGCAACCTTGTCTATCCCACCATGGTCATCGCCCACGAAGGACTTGCCTCACTAGCGGTAGATCTTCACGAAGTAGGCGATCTCCTTGCCCTTACAAACTCCTTGGTTCAACTCCACAATCTTGTCGGAGGCTCCCAAGTGACACCTAGCCAATCTAGGAGACACCACTCTCCAAGAAGTAACAAATGGTGCGTTGATGATGAACTCCTTGCTCTTGTGCTTCAAATGATAGTCTCCCCAACACTCAACTCTCTCTCATAGGTTTTGGATCTTGTGGAAAGAAGATTTGAGTGGAAAGCAACTTGGGGAAGGCTAGAGATCAAGATTCATATGGTAGGAATGGAATATCTTGATCTCAACACATGAGTAGGTAGTTCTCTCTCAGAAAATGTATGCTGGAAGTGTAGGTTCAGTCTGATGGCTCTCTCCACGAAAGAAGAGGAGGTGGAGTGGTATATATAGCCCCCACACAAAATCTAACCGTTACACACAATCTACCAAACTCGGTGGGACCGAATCATTAAACTCGGTCAGACCGATTTAGCAAATAATGTGACCGTTAGGTTTTTCGGTGGGACCGAAATGCAACTCGGTGAGACCGATATGGTTAGGGTTAGGGCATAACGTAATCTCGGTAAGACCGATTACACAAACTTGGTGAGACCGATTTTGGTAATAAGCTTTCCAGAGAGTTGGTCAGGCAAACTCGGTGGGACCGATTTTGGTAATGAGTCAACCAGGAAGTTTGCATTGTAATCTCGGTAGTGCCGATTGCTCAAACTCGGTGAGACCGATTTTGGTAATAGACATACACAGAGAGATTATAATCCCATCTCGGTGAGACCAAGATCCCTATCGGTAATACCGATTTGCCTAGGGTTTGTGGCAGTGGCTATGACATCTGAAATCGGTGGCGCCGGATAAAAGGAATCGGTGTGACCGATTTTGGCTTTAGGTTTAAGTCATTTGTGGAAGTGGGAAAGTAGTTGAGGGTTTTGGAGCATATCACTAAGCACATGAAGCAAGAGACTCATTAAGCAACACCTCATCCCTCCTTGATAGTATTGGCTTTTCCTATAGACTCAATGTGATCTTGGATCACTAAAATATAAAATGAAGAGTCTTGAGCTTGAAGCTTGAGCCAATCCTTTGTCCTTAGCATCTTGAAGGAGTTCCCACATCCTTTAGTCCATGCCACTCCATTGTTGAACTTATCTGAAACATGCTAGATAAAAGTGTTAGTCCAACAAGAGATATGTTGACATTAATTACCAAACCACCTAGGGAGCACTTGTGCTTTCACCACGCGTCCAAATTTTGAACCGTTTCATCTCTGGACTCCTTGCATCGAGATCTTCAAATGTAAATCCCACGTTGATAGGTTTTGACGATTCTTTTTTTTCAAAAAAGGAAAAAACAAACAAAAAAAATGTACTGGGAGCATGTTTTTTTCCTTTCTGAAAGAGGCACGATTGTGCCTCTTGCGGAAGCAAATCCGTGCCTCTATGAGAAGTAAACTCTTGCCTCTCGTGGAAGGAAAAAAACCTATTTTTGGGGGTAAATCCATGTTTCTCGCGGAAGTAAAAAAAACATATTCTTTTTGTTTTCAAGATGCACCACCATGCCTTTGTGAAAGCAAATCCGTGCCTCTCGTGGAAGTAAAAAATGTAATTTTTTTCATTCCCAAGAGGCACGACTGTGCCTCTCACGGAAGCAAATCCGTGTCTCTCACAGAAGTAAAAAAAAGTAAAACACATTCTTTTTCTTGTTCCGACCGTGTCTCCCGCAGAAACAAATCCGTGCCTAAAAGCATTTTTTCAAAGTAAAAAATCTGTCCAAAACCTAAAAAAGACTGGTGAAAACCGAAAAAACTTGAGAAAACTAACTGAAAGGACGAAAATGCGTGTGGAAAAAATAGAAGGGAGCGCTGGGAACGTGACGACGGCTGAGAGCGCACCAAATAACACACTCTTAGCCCATACCAGATGACCCTTGCAGGGCTCCCAAAGAAGTATTCCTTCGTTAGTTACTCCCCCAAATAGGAGGTTCCCGACGGGAGCTCCTATTGAGCGCTGTAGGTGGCGGTTCGCGCTGCTGCTGCTTGCATGGACGCGAAGTGGGTCGGCCCAGCTACTTGCTGAAAAGCAAAAGGTAAAGAAAAATTATCACATTCATTCCGGGAGAAGCGGGACTTGAATTCCGACGCCCACGTCGACGCCACACGAGCTAACCCGTCAGTTACTTGATGAATTTAGAAAAACAGTTCTCTTTGAGCTTTCCTTCAGTATAAACATTAAGCATATACTATTATATACCCACTATAAATTATATTTGAATAAATAAACAAAAATGTGAAAATGTATTCACATAAACCATGAATTCAAAAGAAAAGTTCGCAAAAATAGAAAAAGTTTGTGAATTTGAAAAAGTTCATAGGATTTGAAAAAAGTTCATCAAATTTGAAAAAATCTCATCAAATTTCAGAAAAAGTTCATCAAGTTTGAAAAAAGTTCATAGAAATTGAAAAAAATTCATCGAATTTCAGAAAAAGTTCATCGGATTTGAGAAAAAGTTCACCGAAATTGAAAAAAGTTCATCGAATTTCAGAAAAAGTTCATCAAATTTGAAAAAAGTTCCTGAATTTATATAAAACTTCATAAATTTAGAAAAAAGGTTCATGAAATTTATAAAACCATGTATTAAAGAAAACAAAAAAGGAATGAGAAAAAAAAAGAAAAAGAATAAACCAACCTGAATGAGGAATATAAGAAGAAAAATGAACTATCCGTGCACTAGCGTTGTGGTGGCCTGGTGGTTAGAGCCTAGCGGTTGGGTCAGAGAGATTGTGGTTCGTCTTCCCAACAACCACTTAAGGTCTTTTAGCCAAACTGAAATAATGCCCGTGCGTCGCGGCATGATATAAATATTCTAATACGTTAGCTTGTAATTTACCTGTAAATAATAATGCGATTGTGTGTAAATAAATATTTATCAAATTTCGCCTGTGAATTAACTTATAGTATGGTAAGTAAATTAAAGTGAAATTGGTTTAGAAGGTAAGTAATTAAGGTGATTGAGGTTGGACGAAGAGCTGATAGAAAAAAAAGGTGAAATGAGAACCTTTTATTCTTAGTAGTACTCCCTCCGTTCCAAATTAAACCACGACGAGTAATTTGGAACGGAGGGAGTAGTAGATAGAGAAAAAAAAAAGGGAAGACGAGAAGACGATCGACTGCAAATTTGCGTTTTCACTGGGCAGGCCCATGCGAACGCCGCATGTTTCCTCGCGCACGGCCCACCAGAGCCTTCTAGGGTTTCTCCGTAGTGCTTATATAGCGTCACCCCTCCTCTTCCGGAGATCTAACAACTCCGTCCGCGCCGCCTCCCTTTACGCCCTTATTTTACTCGAGGGTTCGTGCCCCCTGATTCAGATGAGGATTTGGGTTTGACGACCGCTCATCGGATTCGAGTTGCAGGTTTCAAGGGGCAGAAGCAACCTCGCCACATAACTGCCTAATCCCAATTTCTGGTTCGTTTTCTTCGCTCATCAGCTTAGATATGACGATGCGTTATAGGATAATAATCGGATCCCCTCCCCCATGGCACCTACAGATCTAAATCTAGAATTAACGAGGAACTTCAGTTAATTAAATTTGTTCAGCTGTGAATTCAAACAGACCTGCAGATCTAAATCTTGAGGCAACGAGGACCTGTGGTTAATTGAATTTAATCAGCTGCGAATTGCAGGTACCTAAAATCTAAGGAAGAGTCCAGAGAGAATGCCAAAGCGACCCTACGAAGGGCGCGTTGGCAAGAAGGTCAAGCGTCGCCGTCGTCACCTTTATGTTGTCATGAAGGACGAGGACGGTAGATGCGGTATCCACAAATTTGATTTATCTACGAATCTGTTGGACGATGGCCACCCAGTTGTGGAGGTTCTACCGCCCGCTCTCAACCATTTCGATTCTCCCTCGAGGGGATTCTTTGTGGCCTTCGGCACCAAGATCATGGTATTCCATTCAAAATCGGACAAGATCGGCCCCCCTTTCTTTGATGTTAGCACTCACAACATGGGTCAGGGTCCTCGGACCAGGTCACGTCTTTCTCAACCCATATATCTGCCGGTTTGTGACAAGCTTGTTGCTCTGGATGGCAACCACTCGGAGCTTCTTTATCTTCCTCCACTGGAAGGGAAATGGTTGCGGTGTAAGCTCCCAAACCTTTCCTTCAACCTCCAAGACATTATCTCTCACGCTGTGCACCCTGACGGCCGGACCATCTTTGTCAGCTTCAAGAGTTACTCATCCACCGCCACATTTTCCCTTGATACTGGGTCGGATCATGCTAGGTGGAGGTTTCATGGCATGTGGGGGCTGCCGTTCACAGGTCGTGCTCACTTTGTCCCAGGGCTCAACGCCTGGGTTGGGCTTTCTGGTGATCAGGACACGCTTGGCCACCTTTGCTCCTGTGATGTCGTGTCCACTGATCCTGATTCCAGCAACAAGCATTCCCCACCACCATGGAAGCTTGGTAAGGAGAAACTGTTCTGCAAGAAATCATTCGAGGAACACGTAGGAGCCAACCTTTTGTACCTGGGAGTCGAAACGAATTTCTGCCTTCTGCATTATTTCAGTGTTAAAGATGATGATTGCATGCCGCATTTGCTTCGATTGCTTACTTTCTCTGTCAAGTATGATAAGAATGGAGACATCTGGACCTGCCGAATTCTAGAGTCTAGCGTGAATGGTGCAAGGTGGACCAAATCACGTCGCCGGCGCAGATGCTACAAGCTTCCTAGCGCAGCAACGATTCTCGATCCTGCCCTGCAGGTTCCTGTGGCATTCTGGATGTAGCAAGAATCTTTGCTTAGGTTGTTCAGTTATACATTGTTATGTCAAGTTATCTGTAGGGTGATGTATGCTGTCCCTATTTATTATGAACTTCTGTAATATTAAATCCACTATTCTGTCATTTTAGAACTCTAGATCCACTGTTGATTTTCTCGTCTAAAATATTCGTTTTGTTTGCTTGGATGGGGCAAAACCTGAGAAAATCGGATATTTGCCACTCGACATGGCTTCCGCACAAATTGCCACTTTCTTTGTTTGCTTCTAAAAAATGGGGACTCGAGCCTCTAATTCTATTATTACTTTGCTCCGTTGGTAGCATCACCTGCCAAATCCTGATTATACAAACAATAACTCCCTCCACTCCACTCCATTTCACACCCCGTTTCGAAAAAAACCCTCCATTTCACACGGTGCAATGTAAGTACATATGTCTTGAAATAACAATTTTGTGAATGAAGATAAAGTTCCTCACAGCGTCAAATTTCAACCTGACATTTCACATGAGCAAATTGTTTAAATATCTCACTCAAGAAAATATCACAAATAAGCAGGACCGACCCACTTCGTTTTGCTTTGGCTAAATCAAATCAATTTATAATGATATGCTGATCAGATCAAAGCATGGTTAATAGTATGCCAACATCTGGCTAAATCAAATCAAATTTATAATGATATGCTGATCAGACCAAGGCATGTTTTTTTTTTGAAAAACAAATGGACTTTATTCAACCGAAATAACAGATACATCGTTTGCGAGGAATGGTACAATCTCAATCATACGCTCCTCAAACCAATCTAGAAGAAATTCTAGCCAACCTAGAAAGCAAGCTCGTACGCATTCTTATTGGCTTCCCTATTACAATGTTCAAATCTAGAGGTAGAAAAATCACACACCAAAAAATAGCAATCATCAAAGACTGCCGCCGCCGCTCCTGCTGACCGTCCGCCATTATTCATGGTTTCAATAACCTCCAAATTATAAGAATTAATAACTAGGCGATTGCAACCCGCACGTTGCGCTAGTGAAAGACCGAATCTGAGAACCCAAGCTTTCGTTGTTAGAGCATCGATGCAATGATCAATTTTCCAAGTACCCCCTACAATAAAGTTCCCTTTGTCGTTCCTCAGGACAGCCCCAGTCGTACCTTTAAGAAGATCATGATCAAAAGAAACATCAACATTAAGTTTCACAAAACCCACCGAAGGACGAATCCAACCCCTTTTTTCGTAGAAGCCCTTGACTGGAAGCAACAACATAATTAGCCGTAAGAGCTTGTATCCCCATTGAAATCTGTTTTGCATTTTGAATTATCTTGTTGTGCACTAATTTCCGTCTTTCCCACCATAAATACCAAGACGTAATGGCAATCATCTCCCGAGTATTCTGGAACCCCATAATAGATAAATCTTGGCCAAGCATGAGCAACAAAAAACCGAGGACCGCCTCTCCAGCACGATCAACTTCACAAGCTTGAGCAATGATCTCGTCTAATCCAAGCCTTCTCCAGACCTCTTTTGCCTTCTGGCACTGAAACAACATATGCTTTGTGTCTTCTAAACCAGAAACGCAACAAGGGCATAAAGGCGAAACTTTCATGTGTCTATTAGCAAGCGTAACACGACATGGAAGAGTACCATGCAACGTCCGCCAAATAAAATTTTTCACCTTCGCAGGACAAGATAACTTCCAAATCTTACACCAAATTGGATTAAAGTTTGTTCGACCCATTCCATTAGTACGACGAAGTTTCCTTCCATGTTGATAATCCCACTCAACAAAATATGCAGATCGAACAGAAAAAATCCCGCTCTTAGTATGACTCCAGGCAACAAAATCTAACATATCAAACTTAGGCAGAGGGATAGCAAGGACACGCTGTGAATCAATAGGCCACAAGGTCTGTCTGATGAGATCCTCATCCCACCTGTTCGAAGAGGGGTCAATGAGATCAGACACTTTTGATAACAAATGTTGTCCCTTTGGAGTGATGACTTTCCTGTTAGCACAGTTAAGGATCCAAGCATCTTCACAAATGTCAATTTTCTGACCATTTCCAACATGCCAAATATAGCCATGTTTTAAGGTATTAACCCCCGCCATAATACTTTGCCATATGAAGGATGATCCCTTTTTTAACTTTGTGTTCAATAAATCTCCATCAGGAAAATACTTAGCTCGCAAAATGGTGGCACACAAGGAATCTGGGCTCTCAAGGAGACGCCAAGCTTGTTTAGCCAACATCGCCAAATTAAAACAATGAATGTAACGAAAGCCCATTCTGCCTTGGCTTTTCGGAACACACATTTTCCACCACGCCATCCAATGCATCCTTCTCTGGTTGTCGTCATCACCCCACCAAAAATGTGACATCTCGTCAGTTATTCCTTTACATTTTTTAGGAATTTTAAAGACCGACATAGCATAAGTTGGGATAGCTTGAACAACAGACTTGAGAAGAACTTCCTTACCTCGAGTGGATAAGAGTTTTTCTTTCCGTCCGCTAATTTTCATAACAATGCGATCAATCAGATATTGAAAACAATCAGTCTTATCTAACCCCACATGCGCAGGCAGGCCAGATACTTATCATTGAGAGCTTCGATCATGATATTCAAAATTGAGCAAATTTGTTCTGTAATGTCCCTACTCGTATTTGGGCTAAAAAATATGCTAGATTTTTCAACGCTCACCATTTGTCCAGACGCATCACAATATAAGTCCAAAATTGATTTAAGTGTCTCTGCATTTTGTTGATTAGCTTTCATGAGGATTAATGAGTCATCCGCAAAAAGGAGATTTGTGATAGTAGGGGCCTCTCTAGAAACCTTGACTCCTGAAATATTCCCAATCTCCTCCGCATGCGCCAAGAGAGCAGTAAGGCCCTCCATGCATAATAAGAAAAGGTAGGGAGATAATGGATCACCTTGTCTTAAGCCCCTAGTAGGCTTGAAACTTTCAGTTTCTTCATCATTAATTTGTACCCTATACTCAACAGTAGAGACACATTTCATAATAAGATTTACCCGTCTCTCCTGGAAACCGAGTTTCAACATAATTCCCTTCAAAAAAGGCCATTCGACTCGATCGTAAGCTTTATGCATATCAAGCTTGATAGCGCATGAACCCTCTTTTCCCACCCTCTTATTTTTAATAGTATGAAAGCTCTCATAAGCCACTAAAACATTGTCTGTAATCAATCTATCAGGCACAAAAGCACTTTGGGTTGGGCTGATAATATTAGGTAGTAAAACCTTCAAACGCGCCGACTACATTTTGGAGATAATTTTGTATACCACATTGCAAAGACTGATAGGTCTAAACTGGGTTACCTTCTCGGGTGAGTTGACCTTGGGAATCAACACAATCGCAGTATCATTCCAACCCGGTGGAATTGTACAAGTATTCACTGCTTGCAAGACCTCATCCACCAAATCATCCCCTAGCATGGGCCAAAATCTTTTATAAAAAATAGCATGAAGACCATCTGGCCCCGGAGCCTTTAAATCGCCAATATCTAAAACAGCCTTATGAACATCATCAACAATATAAGGGGCGAGCATGGCACTATTCATCTCAGTAGTCATTCTACTCCGGACAAGATATAAAACTTAATGATTTGGGTATAAAACCTCCGATGTAAAAAGATTGGAGAAATAACCCATAATATGTTCCTTCAGATCATTTCCTTGTTTCCAAATCCCAGTATCATCCAGAAGTCTTCTAATATTGTTCCTTTTTTTCCTGGCCGTTGCATCGTTATGAAAAAATGAAGTATTACGGTCCCCATGTAGCAGCCAGTTCGCTCGACCTCTCTGTAACCAAAAAAATTCCTCTTGGTCCAAAAGATTTTCAATGAGTACTAGAATTTCCTTTTGCCTTGAGCGGGACTCATCACTAATAGGACCACGTTTCAGCCTCTCTAGTTCTTTTTTTAACTTATTTATTCTCCTCTTTGGTCCTTTCAAAGTAATTCGGTCCTAAGAATGTAAATCATCATGCATCGCTCTAGTCCGTGCTGCGAGAGAGGGACCAATACCCGCCAACTTTGCTTTTTCCCAAGCAGTCTTCACAATCTCCTCAACAGTATCTTCTTTCAGCCATTTTGCTTCAAATTGTCTCACACGACCATTCTGACATTAAACAAGTTACTAAGAAAATAATCTGTGTCAAGAATTAACGGACAATGGTCTGAGTGTACATGCTCCCCATTAATAATCACCGCACGCGGAAATTTATTTGCCCATTCTAGATTACATACAGCTCGATCAAGCCTTTCACGGATGTCCCCCCTTCTCCAAGTGAATGGATCACCAACACGGCCCATATCCTCCAGGTTACAATCACTCAAGCACTTACGGAATTCATGCATCATTTCATTTGGTCTAGCATTGCCACCTTCTTTTTCGCTAGAGTAGATAATTTCATTAAAATCTCCAATGACTACCAAAGGATAATCAGCAAGGGAATGCAGTTGGCAAAGATCCGCCCAAGATAAATATTTTTCATTCCATGTCGGATAACCATAGAAACCCGTAAAGCGCCAATTTACAGAATTATCATTCATAAATACAACTGTAGGACCTTGAAGTATGTCTAGAGGGGTGGTGATTAGACTACTTGACCAATTAAAAACTTAACCTTTTCCCAATTTTAGAGTTTGGCAGATTTTAGCTACTTTAGGACAAGTCAAGCAATCATCACACTATTCAAGCAAGCATGCAAAGAGTATATAGGCAGCGGAAATTAAAGCATGCAACTTGCAAGAAAGTAAAGGGAAGGGTTTGGAGGATTCAAACGCAATTGGAGACACGGATGTTTTTGGCGAGGTTCCGATAGGTGGTGCTATCGTACATCCACGTTGATGGAGACTTCAACCCACGAAGGGTAACGGTTGCGCGAGTCCACGGAGGGCTCCACCCACGAAGGGTCCACGAAGAAGCAACCTTGTCTATCCCACCATGGCCGTCGCCCACGAAGGACTTGCCTCACTAGCGGTAGATCT